AAAAAATTGCATTGAAAAGAAAATTCTGTGCTAAATTTAATGAGATAGAAAGGAAGAGTGAAAGAAGCCTGACTATGAAAACATGTGGGACCAGAGTCACAAATGTTCCCTGGAATCTCTGTGGCTGATACTCCAAATAGACTCTTGTCAAGTGAAACACTATGAGCTTTTTTCCATATCTACCACGAAGTTGGATCCCTACAGCAGTGTGTGCTGAGAAGCTCCTGTTGGTCCTGAGCACTCACACATGGAGGTTTCTATCTGAAGTCTTCTCACTGTGCTTACTTCACAGTACTACATGGCTGAGTCATCTATGGTCACAGAGTTCAGGGAGAACTGATTCTTGGCTGTGTCTCCAGAGATGAATATGAGGCTGTTAAAGACTGTACTGTAGCTAGTGCCAACACTGTAACTTATGACCCCCATCCACTGCAGGATTTTTTCTTGGGTCATACAGATCCAGTTCTACCCATGACCACTGATTGTGATGGAGACTCGAGACTGAGAAGGTGATGCGCAGAGCTTCATCCAGCCAGGTCCTGACTCTTGAAGCTGCGTTCCTAGCACATGGCACCTAGGGCAAGAAAACCGTGCTAGTTATCCTTTTTCATTCCCTTCCCAGGGAACTGTGTCTAATACTGAGGACACTCACTATGGAGACGAGTGTTTGGGCACAGAATGTATCCTAGAAGCCTCATCCTCCAGACCACACCCCAGACTTCCTATAGTAACTTTTGGAAGACAGTTGTGAGCTCTGACAGCTGAAGAAGGGAATCTGAGGTGACAGTTGGAGAGCAAACTTGCATGTGTGGTGTTTCCTTCTTAAACAATGGAGAAGGGCCAGGAAGATAGTGCAGTGGCATAAGGGCCTGCCTGACAATGGCAAGGTGCTGAATTTGATAACTAGTGCCCAAAACAAAACAAAACAATCTTTGAATGATGGGCAGACAGAGGTCAGGATGTTTCTGGTCCTGTTATGCTGCTGAGAGGAACCTTTTTCCCTGAAGTGCTGTTTGTCTCTGTGACCAGGGAAACATAGATTTCAGAGGAGTGGGAGCATCAGGCAAAGGTATAGTGCATCCCTCTGCTCCAAAGTCCGCCTCCATGCTTACCCTTCTGTCTGCCTGTGTTCCAGCCCCACCGCTTGCCTCCCATCCAATCTCTGGCTGCTGCTTCCTCAGGACTGAAGTGAGCACAGCTCCCTCTGTCTCTCCATGACTTATCTTCATGGAAGTCAGACGTGCTGTCTGGGAGCTTGCTTCACTGACAGTTGCTAGGATCATGAGCGATCCACCTGCCTCCTGCCACACATCCCTGCATCAGATCCAGAAGAAACTGGATATAAAGATGTGTTTCCTGTGCTGATGTCAAATACTGACTTTCTAGTCACTTGGGAAGAAAAGGAGCCCATGAGTTTTCCCAGATGGCACTGAACAGATACTGTGTGATCATTCCTTCTTGTTATTGTTGTCTGGGTGTCATTCATAAACTCAAAATACTTTCTTTGTGATTGATGTCCACTAGAAAAATTATGCTTTATTAACATCAGGCATGTGATAATAATGACCCAATTATTCAAAATTTATACAAGTATTTCAATCATGTTATCACCTTGTTTATTTTGTCTGTTGGTTTTAGGCTTACCTTTAACTCAGTATATAGTCCATGCTGGCCACAATGCGCAATGATCCTTCTTCTTCCACTACTAAGTATATGGGTTACAGGTGTAAGACACCCTACCTCAATCAGCCATTTCTTTGTTGATGTTTTGATTTGTTTTTTGAGCAAGAAAAACCTTAACCTAGTGATTATCTTTTTCACTCCTTTATTTGCTTGTCTGGACACACTAGTATCACAATCCTCTGTTCTCACTCTTCTCCTCTAAATCTTCCCTAGAATCTGTATTCCAAACACTTCTGTTTTCTCTATTTTTTCATTTTTCTTCCCCATATTTGTACTCGTGTTTTAACATGATAAGGCTGAATGAAACAATTAATGATGACATTTTCTCCCAGAATTGAAAGTTACGATATAAGTTTGACACGATCACATGTAAGGCATTCACTCTTAAGAGTTACATAACATCTGAACTAGAGTAAAATTGTCAGATCTCACCTTATTCATGGAAATCTTCCTTAACATCTTGGGTGGACATTTCCAGAAGATCATGAGGAAGCGTGCCAGTGCACAGCCATAGCCACTTTACAGCACAGCATGGGCAATAATGGATGCTCGGGTCTTTGACTATGTATTGAACACCACATAGGGTATGTGCCATGTCATGCTAGGAAAGCTTTATTGATTCTCCTTGGAAAATTACTCAGAACCAGTGTGGGCTTCCCCACTTGCCCTTCAGAGCCAGGATGAAGAGGAGGGATCCTGCCCTGCCCAGGCAGCCATCTATACATGGCTGTGAGAATAGACGCAATTTCAATCTTCTGTTGAGGCTGGGTCTCTGAGCCTTACTCACATCCACAGTTCCTCTAAGAGCAGGAAGGGGCTCTTTCTTTTTTTCTTTTTTTTTATTTTAAGAAATGGTCTACAGGGTGTTCAGGGTCCCACTACTAGATCGGACTCAGAGTGATCCACCTGTTTACAACATCCCAAGAGCTTGGATTACAGGCACACAGCACCACCTACAGTCTCATTTACCTTTTCAGCATGTCCTGGGGACATGACCCATACTGCAGGCCCAGGGATTGAAACTCTGGCCCATGCGCCTGCTTGCAGGTACTTTAATCTTTTGAGCTATATGACTGGCCTTACTAATGATTCTAAATAAAATGGCTAAATTTGGCAAATAATGTGTTTTATATAACTTTAATCTTTGTTATGAGAAATACATAATCTCCTTTGTCACTTTTCAAGAAAAAAATAAATGACTACTAAACTCAGTGCCCAGACTGCAGTGTGGATTTCTAGGAAGTTGGAAAATGAAGATCCAAAATACCCAGCATGGAAACGCACTGTCATCTAAACTCTGAAACTACTGAGTAACATTTTAGACAGAACCAAAAAAAAAAGTTAAAATAAAATAAAAAAGGGCCAGGGAGATGTCTCAATGGAATGAGCAGTTCCCTAGCAAATGCGAGGCCTGAGTTCAATCCCCGGTTATGCCTAAATAAATAAATAAATGAATAAATAAATAATAAAATAATACTTTAATGCTTATTTCCACTTCCATAGGTTTATTTTTTCAAGGTAGTTTGTAGAAAAACATATGTTTATACAACTGTTTGATACACATCATTTAAAAATGCTAAGAAAAAAACATGGAACCAAGAAAAACACTCACATTTTAAGGGCAGCAGGACAATTATTCCCTGCCAAGGGGAATAGAAAATGGTCCTTCCACTGGGAAAGCTTTTCCATATTTCATATAGCTGTGAAGATAACAATGGACAGAAGAATGTGAGGTGGTCACAGAACTAATCTAAGCGTGATATTCTCCTGTACCTTCTGATGATTCTTGCACCAGCTTCATCTCCTCCAGCTCTCCTCTGTGGATGAAGACTGCTTGTAGGCACAGCTGGGACCCCTGCTTAAAACATCTTAAAAGGAAGCATATGAACCGTCGGCATTAACCAACCATGTAGTGGAGGCCCCAGGAGATTCCTCAGGAAAGAGCTCAAGAGCCAGCCTGGCCAGCTGAGCTTCTACCAGGTGTTCTGTCTTCACACCCTTCTGTCTGGGATTCCACTCCTTGCCTGCATAAATGGCCACCTCCTACTCCAAGACATCACAGGCTGCTCCTGGTGATCACCTGAATAATTTGGACACACATGAAGCCTGCGGTGAAAGCATATCATTAGACATTTATCCAAACATACTGAATGCACAGCCCAAGGGGTGAACCCATATTAGCACAGTGACCGTAGGAGTTGGTGGTATCTTTCTGTAGGCCCAAACTCTTGGACAAAGGGCATGCAGCACAGGTTGTTGCTAGAGGGGCACGTTGTATACATGAAGGATAAAGAGATTCCTAGAAAAGTTCTCTACATTACAATCAAATTTACAGTGACTGTGAAAATGCCCTGTTTTTAAACTCTGCTGAATAAAAATGCAGCAAGTCTTGCTATGTTGTACAGAGTACAAACAACACTATCACGTGATTGTGAAGCTTTGCTCTAAGATATCGCTCCAACTGTTTGAAATTCAGTTGTTTCTCAGTTGGCAAATGCTTCGGTTCCCAAAGAAGTCAGTTTACAAACAAAAGTATTATATAAATTTTGCTTGCATCAGTGAAATTCACATGAGTTAAAGCACAATAATGGTATTCACAGTCAATGTGAGTAAGAAAAAAAATCCCGGAATCCTGGAAGAAATTAATTTCTTGAACTGAAGCACAACTGTATGTGTCCTTACAAATATGTTCTGGGAATTCCTCCAGTCCAGCTTTGTTAGCACAGAGATTTCTCTGTTTCCTGTAATTTACATGGATGGTGTGTCAGATATCTTCTTGTTATGAGGACAAAATTTCAGAGAACTAAATTAAAGAAGAAGAGGTTTATTTACCTTACAATTGGTAAAGGGCTCAGTTCTTATTTGCCTGGGTCACGGCAGCACAGTGCATGCTGTACAATAGTACCTACTGGTGGGAGATACCAAAAACAAGAAGAGGGCAGGGGGAGAATGTCTCTGCCTCTTATATTGTATGCCAGCTCAACACAATAGGGCCGGTATAGAACTCACACTCATGATCCACGCATTAGACCAAAACCAAATCACAAACACTAGATTAATCCACGCTCAAAATCCCATGATCACGATAGCATGAATCTTTGAAGGGACATCAGACACTAACCATAACAAAGGCTACTGTAGTGGACAATCACACACTTATTCCATTCAGTTAGGGTGCGTAGCTGGATTTTTTCCTGTTTCCCATCCTCAGTTACTTCACCAATTTTCTGAGCATATCTTCATTCTCATTATCTCTGTCACTTCATGATCTAGGCAGCTGCTTCTCGTTCTGGGTTTCTGACACATGCAGGATGTGGTCACCACACTGTGTGTCTTGCACAGTAATACACGGCTGTGTCCTCAGACTTCAAGCTTCTCAGCTCCATGTATGCTGTGCTGGAGGACGTGTCAGCAGTGACAGTGACTCTGCCCTGGAGCTTCTGAGCATAATTAGTATAACCATCACTTGGGTCAATGTTTCCTATCCATTCCAAACCCTGGCCAGGACTCTGTTGCACCCAGCTGATCCAGTAACTGGTGAAGCTGTATCCAGAAGCCTTGCAGGAGACCTTCACTGAGGCCCCAGGCCTCTTCAGCTCAGCCCTGGACTGCACCAGCTGCACCTGGCCATGGACATCTGAAAGCAGAAAACAAAACTTGAAGGCAGTGTCCAATGACAGCTCTGGTCACTTTGTCAGGGATAAGATTGAGGATTTTCTTACTTTTCACAGTTGCCACCAATAAGATGATTTTCCACATCCAGTCCATGGTGAGGAGCTGTGCTCTGGGGATTTCAGTGGAAGACAGAGGTGGTTGTAGAATGCTCTGGGTCAAGACTGATCCATATTTAAATTGTAAGGCTCTGGTTATTTGCATATTCATGAGGCAGGCAACTGCTTAGCTTTATATCTGCTACAGTCTGGAGACAGGGAGTAAATATTCAGCAGAGAAGCTGGATTTCAGAAACATCCTGTCAGGAAATTGTCTCCTGCCACTCTTCCCAACTTTTGTATGCAACCCTCCCTCCCTGAGAATCAAGCCACCACAGGAAGGCCGTTCTCTGAGCATAACCTTAAATGATCTGTAAATCATCTGAGCTTTGATTTGGCCATCAGTGTCCTTGATGCTAATCAGGTGCATTGTCCTCGACCTACCTGTATCAGGTATCAGAGGAGCTCAGAGTTGACTCTTAGTAAGGATCACTACCCATTCCACATTTGTACATAGAATAATCTATAGATTCCTCTCATTTTAGTCTAAGCTTTAGGGATGGTTTCTGAAGCACCTTCCTGGAGTGATGATGTTCCACGTGTTCTACAGAAAGGCCACTGGTCCACAGACAAGTCCTGTGAGGTACAGTGTAGGGCTGGGTTTCTAAGCCAATCATGGATAGGACTTGAATGTAAACACTGATAACTATTGCTAAAATTTTGCCTAACAGTGTGTATTTATTTTGTGAGTCTCATTTACACTGAAACAAGCAGAATTTTGGATTTCCCAGAGATTGTAAATTGGTATCCTCTTCTTCTCCTCTTTACCCATCATTTGATCTACCCATCGTTTGATCTACATAGTCCATGTACCTGTCACATGCTATGACCCTCAGTATCCCTGCCATACATTCATTCCTGAATTCAACACAAACACCTGATAGTGAAGATCATGTTCCCATATTCAGTGTCTCTTCCAACGCAGTGCACCTTTACAGCATTAATAATTCATCCTGTGTTTAATTTCCTTACTTCTAAGTCATACAAAACACTAGAACCCCACATGTTGAGGTCTGCTTGAAAGACTGACTTAAGTAAACTCATCTTGTAAAACATTTATCAAAGGTGTGTATGCATTATAAACTTTCAATGTTGGTTGATTTTTTGAAAGGAAAAGACACAAGCTTCAGATGAACTTGCTAGCACTTTCTCAACGAACGCCAAACTACACCAGTTCATTGTTGGTGCTGAGTACCCATATTTTCTCTAATCTCAGACAGGTCCCTATCCGGGACATGGGTAAACTTTTAATGATAAGTGCAGGGCATAGAAAGTATTCAATAAGCTTTTTAAACTTTTTCAGGGAAACCATGGTCTTCTGATACATGTGATGAAGACTCTCTTACTGACCCTGATATGCTGCAGAGAGACCTAAGCTGGTGAGAGAAAAACAAACTGGGGCTTACCTACAGGAGGTATACTCATCCCTCTGCCAGGGGACCTGCAGGTCCCAGGGTCAGAAACATCTCTTCCCCATCAACCCTCTCATGAAGCACAGCATAATCCATCTGCAACTTCTCTGTGCAGGGTCTCCTCTGGCAATATGATATTAAGACAGAGGAAAACACAAAGGGTGATGGGAAACTCTCCCCAGCTTCCTTCTCTGCACCTGCTGGTGGGACATTTCCTGGTATGCTTAGCGCCCCCTACTGGTCGCTTTGCCCCTGAAGAAAGTTTCTGAGTGGGCTGCATTGCTGTCCACTCACAGTTTCTCTGGCCTAGTAATGCACAAGGGCATCCTCAGTTCTCAGAATGATTCATTGTAGGTAGAGTGTGTCCTTCATCTTGTCTCTGAGATTATCAATTGGCCCTGCATGGAGACTGCATAATATGTGTTACCTCCACAGATTACTAATAAGAAAGACCCAGTCTTCTCCTCCCTAAAGCCTGGAAGAAAAAGCTCACACTGTAGCTACTTATGGGACTCCAGACTGTAAAACATAGAGTCCTCAGGCTACATCAGGGCTCCCACACTCCTGCTGCACCTGACACAAAACACCTACAAACACAGTATCATCCTCCTCAGAATGTCTCCTAGGTTTCCTTTTTATCCTATTCCTGTACAAGTGCATATTCAGGATCTTTTATTGTCCATAAACTATCATTAAAAATTTCAAAGTAGAAAACAAGGCTTGACTAAAATCCTTGTAGCTGTGTTCAATAACACCACTGATGGGAACACCAGGATATCCAGGTTTGGGCTCCACTCCAAAGGTGCAGTATCAGGGCTGGACTGGCTCTTATCAGCAGATGGAGGCCCTATTGCCACATCCTGTTGCTTCACAGACAGGTCTGGCGATGAATGCCTCACAGAGGGCAGCACCCATAGCAGAGGAGAGAGCTAGGAATTGTGTAATAATGACAGCATTCAAAAAGTGGTGATTGGTCAGGATGTGATATGTCTTGAATGTCTTTTTTTTTTTTCTAAACTGGGGATTGAACTCAGGCCCTTGTATTTGCCAGGGAAGTGCTTAATTCACTGAGCAATCTCCCAGCCCCTCTTGAGTGTCTTTTTTTTCTCTTTTCATATTTATACACATACACAAGTCATGCAATTTGTGTGTTAATGGTCTTTGTTTTATAATCATGTAAAAATATGAAAATGTCATAATCAGTTGTGTTTTCTATGCAGGACTTGATGCCCTGAAGATGGTGCACTCATTTCCTGGGCCTTTTCTTCCTTCAATTGTAAACACAGTGCTTACTGATCCAGTACCTGCGGTTAGAGGGAGGCTCCTGGTGAGGCTTGGAGCTCCCCCTCTGGCAGTGTCAACAAGTGTGTCATCCTTGCACTCTGCTGTTTGGTGAAGGAAACAGAATCAGCATTGACACAGTTACTAGTTCTACCACTGTTGTGGAGAAAAGGTCCTTGGATATAACCGTTTAATTCTTTTCATTCTCTTCCCTTCTCATCCCCTTTCCTCTATTTGTTTGTTCTTTTTCCTGTTGCAAAATATGTAGGATCTAATTAATATTATCTTATATTTTCCATTTCCTTAAATATTTTGTTGCTCAAGCCCAGCCAGGGCCTAATCCCTGTGGCATGCTGAGGGACTGAGACTGGGCATGGTGGTGCACACCTGTAATCTCAGTGCTTGGGAGGCTAAAAACAAGAGGATCACTGCGAGTCCAATATGTGTAGTAAGACCCTGTAGAGGATAAATAGTGTATTATTTAAGTTAGTTGCTATTTTTTGTGATACAAACTTGCAATTTTTTTACAGAAATAAAATAAAAGCAGTTAATAATTCTTTATGGGTGAGCGAGATACCTCAGCAGACTAAGCACCTGCTTATTCAAGCACAGGGACCAGGGTTGCAACCCTGGCACCACATGCTTCTCTGGCCATGCCCCTGGGTGCAATAAACCGGCTACGGAGACCTGCCCAAGCGTGGTGGTGCATGCCTTTATTCCCACTGCCAAGGAGGCTAAAAAACAGGAGGATCACTATAAGTGTGAGTTGCATAAAGAGACCTTATACCAAATACTTAAAATAATAGTAATTAATTAATATTTTATTAATATCTACAAACTATATTATATATATATATGCATATGCATATATATATTACATTTAAAAAAGAGAATCAGTTATAAGAAGACACCCTCAGGGAGGCAGTTTATTTTAGTACTGCAGCTCCTGACTGGCAAGCATGAGGTCCTGATTTGAATTCTGGGTAAAAAGAAAAAAAGAAGAGGAAAAAAAAATGTTAACCTCATTTTAAGAAATTTTAAATACGTCAAATAAATACTACTAATTTTATATCATCTTAAAAACTTGGAGCTCACTTTGATAGAAATAGTGGAACAGAAGCTAGTATGAATTTCAGTATTTGAAACTTATTATCTTCTATATTTGAAGAATAATATCTTGAATACAGAAATCAAGTTTTCAGCCAGACTGGGTGGCTCCGCACTGTAAAACCCCCACTCTGAAAGGCTCAGAATGGAAGACTGGAGGCTGAGCCGCACCTGGGAAACTTGGTAATTTTTTGAGGATGCATGTTTTTTAAGTGTTCATTAAATGCTTAACAATTTACTGGGGCTGGAGCTCAGTGGCCAGGCTCTAGGTTCCTCACCCAGCACTTGGAGAAGAACCACGTGCAAAAGTCATTTTTCAATATAATCAGTGTCTAACTTCCCTACACAAAGCTAAGACAGCACCTAGCACTAATGTGGAATTCAACAACAACAAAAGCTGAAACACAGATAAGAGAGCACTTTTGTTGTTAGAAAAGGTGCTGCATCAATATGAATATAAACCTAGGAACTGAGTATATCCCCACCTTTGGTTTTCTTTTCATTTTAGGAGTCCTGCCACACTGGGCTAGAAACAAAAGAGTCATCAAGTCACACCTTTGTATCAGACGTATGTCTAGTGGTTGCCATGGCTCCAGCTCACCTCACAGCAGACAGACTTCAGATTTGGCCCCCATGGTAGAGCTTGAGTGGAGTGAGGTCAGACATACACAGAGTGGAGCTCCAGCTTCCACACTTCATGTGGACTCTGAACATCTGCCCCTTCCTGGACCATAGTGAAGGATACACATGGTGTTACTCAACACCTTCCTTAGGGGTGGAGAATCACATAGCTCCAGCAATATGTGCATGTACCAATTAACATACAGAGTGGGAAAAATTATTCAGTTGAAAGGCTTCACCTCAACCAGCTTTTGGAAGAGACCCTCAGGATGCGGCACCCTGTACATGTGGCTGAGGATGCAGGGAAATATTGTAGTTGGTAGGAAATCATTTGCACAGCTAAGGTTTGTACACATAAAACAATAATAAAATTGTGCAATAGGCTGAATTGAAAGAAAAATTTTTAAAAAATAACTCTGTGCCACATATAATGAGACAGAAAGGAAAAATTATAGAAACCTGACTGTATGAGTACATAATAATAAGTAACCATAGACACAAAAATTGCCTGGAATCGCTGTGGCTGGGAACCTGCAAGGAGAATCTAAGCAAGTGAGGACAGCCCTGTGGGCTTTTCTCCACATTTACCTAGAAGGCAGATCCCTATAGCTGT